ATCAGCCTCCTCGGGAGGAGGAGACCAATCCTCAGTCGCATCTCGGGTCGCGGGGTACCGGTGCAACTCGATCTCATATCGATGAATTCGGGCCCGTAGAGCTTTTGCTTTGAGCCAGAGATTATTTCCTGGCCCTGGGTTCGAAGTCATGATCTCATTGCCCTGATATTTTTGGCCTTTTCTCTCCTCTCTCTTCTTCTTTTCCCCTTCTCATCAACCATCATCGATATTGATCAATCAACCATCATCAGCAGTTAGCCAGAAGACATTGCATTGCTGATCTCTCTCTTCTCCTGACTCGCTGTCACTTTCTGTCTGTCCATGAGCATATGTTAAAGCCTCGGTTGGGGAATGTTCGCGCCCAGAGTTCGAAATTTCACTTGAGCCATAATGATGCCGACGAGGGGAATTCATGACCAGTTCGAGGATGTATTTTCTGTTACCTTGGTCAGCCGGTTCGTATTAATGTAGTGATAGAGGGGGTACCAACGTGGATGAGGCGGCATGTTGTGGCTCATATATATGGAAAACATATATAGTGGTGGGAAGCAACCAACAGAGATGCATTCAATAATATGAATGGATAGGATCCAGTGTAGTTCCCTGCAGGAAGACGAGTGCGTCCCATGGATGTGTCGACAGCCCTCAACATGGACGCGGGCATAGTGGACGATTATGTAGCTGGCCAGCCTGACAAACAAGGCCCGGTGAACTAGGTATCCTTCTCAACATATCTTAATCTTCCGGCAGTATCAAGAGGGTTTTGTGTGTAAGGTTTCGTATGTGACGATAGAGGAATTCTAGAAAGAAACAATTATCCCTTGTTATCCTTTTGAACATCCAAAGATCTTCACCACTTTCCTGGCTTCAACCTGAGCAGCCGAGATCGAAAATGAGAGTTTTGAGGACGACTCAACCCAGCCATGTTGTTTATCCCCCTCGCGGGGCCATGTCCGAGGAGACCAGATCCGCTGCCAATTGAGACGGTGAATGTGGGCTTTGGGGGGAGGAGCGAAGCAAGGTAGGTGATTAAGCTGCTGGAGATGGCTAAGCAGCAGTGTGGGTATCTCTTGGGCTCCGGCAAAAGCTGCTTGGAGATTTGGGGCATATCCATGCTGTTCTTGGGCAACGCTTTGTTCTTAATACAGAAGAAGAGTTAGCAATGATTACTTGGAAGAGGAATGGAGACAAATAAAGACTATACGTACTTTGGCAAAGCTCGGGATCACATCATGTTACCGACCACTAACAGGGCTTTGCGTTGCCGGGTACAACACCCGGCTTTGGGGTTGCGGCGCGAAACAGGAGAGGTGTAGCCCCGCCAGACTGTTGTCGTAAAAGCCATGCATATAACCAGTAGTGGAGTGTTTTGAGTCATGCATCAACATCCGGCCAGTAACAGGGTTCTGGGATGCCAACACCCGGAATACCAACGAGAATTTTGTGTAGCCGAATGTTACAGAATGGGCTATGAGAGAGGAACGGCAGAAGGGCAGAAGGGAATCCGTGGGTGGGTGAAGGGGAAGGGGAAGGGGAGGTGGAGGGGAGGTGGGAGAGGAAGGGAATTTATAGCCTCTGGAGACCGGGGGGGAGTGCATGTATCCGATTTTCTATGCAGACTCTTCTAAAAGATGCCAGGCAACAGACGAACGCGTGAGACAATCCATCACATCCGTGCCAGGACGGTGCTACATGACATAGAGGAAGATGAAGATATCCACAAGGGTAATCGTAGAACAAGAATAGAAATGCAATATATCAAGACAACCAAATACCAATGCATTATCATTACGCCGGTCTATGTATCCCCTAGTAGAAACAATACGCTCCCACCAAATCAAAAACAACAGGGTATAAACATCCTAGACCAGGATCTGTCCCTTACAATGCATTAAGAACCTGCTGCATAGCAAAAGTATTGGAGTCCTCACGACGCGAGACGTAGGCTCGCACCTCTTGCACACTTAACTTACCCTCCTGGGTAGTATTGCGTCCCGAGCCCCCAGGTCCGCCAGTCGTGCCGCTGGCAGCACCACCCCGGATTCGTTCGCGGAGAGCCTCGGGTCCAATCACAAATAGACTGCCGACTTCCAGTAGCACGTCCAGCGCACCACCGGGGCCCTTGGTCTCATCGTCAATATCCCAGGATCTGAAGAGGTCTGCATATTGCGTCATATCTTTGGTTACCATTAGCCCGCCAGGTCCACTGACGGAGAACCGTTTGAAGTGTTCGAGGAGGAGACCGCGGATTCCAAGGGTTATCTCGGTCAGCACTTGGCACACGTTGGCGCCGCTGGATGGGAGAGAGGTGCGCGCGATGTTGTGAAGACGGGTTAGGAATGAGGTTATTGATGCGCAGGTCTGTTTAGATTAGTAGGGTTCATGCTAGGCGTGGATGTTGAATGGAACGTACTGGAGTCTGTAGCATTTCCAACCAGGCCGTATTATCACTCTCCCTGGGACGGAAGTCATTCTTCTTCTGGCCAGATAGCAATCTGCTAACCCAGGAGAATGTGGCGTCAATGGTTTTCTGCTCGATACTGTTGATTTTGTCCTCGATACGCGAGGTGGTTTGGCTGGTGCGCTTCTCCATATCCCGGCGAGTGGTAATACTCGCGGCTGATAGAGGAAGAAGGACCGCATGGATGCACATCACCATCAATGTGGTAATACTGATCGTGGTGCGAGCCGAGAAGAGGTAGGAGAAGTCGGGCTCGGCCTTGCCGGATTCCTGCGACGTAGCCGCTTCCAGAGCGGCATCTAGACAGACATCCACGTATCCCTCTCCCATCGCGAGGAGAAGCAGGCCGAGCAAGGCGGAGACATCTTTGGGTGTGTCGCTGTTGACACTAAGCTCGAGTCCTCGGCCCACGGCCTCGGCGAGCCACTTCAGCATCCGCTTAGCATCGCTGAGATTAGGCTGTCCATCTTCTTCTGTGAGCTTGATCTCGGTCAATCGAGTGGTCTCCAGCGTATCACCACCTATCTTGGCTACGCTAAGCAGAACTTTTCGCTGGATAGGTGAGACCTCTGGTGAGTCCAATCGGCTGATAAATGCATCGCGTGTAGTCGAAAGAAGTTCTGATCCAACCCGGGATAACGAGGCCATGAAAGTTGTTGCCGCCTTCTTGCGGCGGGCATGGTAGGAGGTGAACCTGAACAAGACCGCGTTGAAAAGTTCTTCTAACGTCCGCTTCTCGCGTTCGATGTAAGACGATCCAACGAAATAAGGAACAAAAAGCTCCTCCAGCTGCTGATCTAGCAACACGGCTGTCTGAGAAGAAACTGGCTCCGGATGCTCGGTCAGCCCATGCGACTTCAAATCTTCAATCAAGGCACTGATATAACCACGGGAGCTTTGTAGACAACGGAGGAACGCCAGTGACGATACACCGGCCGCTTTCTCCAGCACCATTTCCAGCCGCTGCTGAATAGATTGCTGAAATACCCGCTGTAAGAACTTGCCTAGGACTTGCTCGTAGTAGGGGAAGGCCCGCCGAATAATCGCAGACTCCTCCTGAACCACAACCTTAACTTCATCGACTAATGACTGGAGACTGGAGTCAACGCCAGGAAGCTCCGCGTCCGGATCAGCCAGTTTCTCCCACGATTCCGGATCGCCACTGACTTCCTCCGTCACCAGCTGGCTGCGCTCAATGAAGAACTGATGCTGGTTGACGAACAAAGCGATAACACTAGCACCGCCATTGAAATCCTGCAACACAGTCGCGCAATCTCTCATACCGTCAAAGTTGGCCTTGCGGTAGAAATCGTCAAACTGCTTCAACAAGTCCTTCTCCAGCGTCTCGGAGAACTTCTCGATAATCTCTCGCGTGTTCCGTCGCGGCGTGCTGCTCTCGTTGAGATCCTCAGACGAAGAGCTATTCCCATACCCACCATTTGAGCGAGCCCGATGTTCTTGCCAGCTCTGGGGGTCCAGTCGTTGACTAATGCGCAGCAGTTGGCGTGCAATATGTGCGGAGCGCACCTTGGCCTCTCCTGTGCCCGATCGCCGCAGACCCTCCAGTAGTGAGATCTCGCCCCGATTGCACACACCGTCCCAGCATTGGATGAGGAAATGTGCGTCCAGAGCTCGTCGTCGCTGTCGGTCTAACTCCTCCAAGCGCTTTCCTGTCTCGACTGCCATGTTCCCCGTCCCTGCTGGATTCTCGCGGCCGGGGGCATTTAGAGACGTGTCAAGCTGTTGAAAGTTTTCAATAGTGTGGCGGAGCTTCTGACCGAGGGTGTTGAGGTTCTGGTCATGTTGCGCTTCTGCGCGACGGACAGCTGCAGAGAGTTCATTCTCGCGGAGCTCGAGGTCTCCGGAGAGCTCGCTCAGGCGACGTTGGGCGCTTTCGAAGGTGCGGATGAGGGGTTTGGGGTCGAAGGGTTGGTTGGCAGCGGCGGCGGTACTGGCTAGCGAACGACGGCTGTAGATTGCTGTGTCGGAGAGAGCTTCAATGAACTCCTTGACAATGAAGTCCCGACTAGAGAAGTCTTCGAGGGTGAAACTGGGCCCTTGGGGGAAGACGGTGCGGGCGGGGTTCGTGGTGATGGATGCATTGTCCATCATGATTGATAGTGGACAGACATGAGCTGCCTGCAGAGCTGGACAATGGTGTCTCCTCTTCCTTAGAATTGGAGTGTGTAATTGAAGGGAAGGAATCCGGGGAAAGCTGGAGGAGGGGAGACGGATTTGGTTCGAGGGAGATTTATTGCCACGCACATCTATTTTCTATCTACAACATACAACATACGTATATATTGTACGTATACTCCAATATTAGGCAGAGAGATATTCAATCGAAGCTGAACTCGATATATTAATAGAAATAGCAATAATAACTAAAATAATAATAACTTAAATACTCCAAAGTACTTCGAAAATAACCAGAATAAGAACTTTTAATCATTTAGTTACTAGTTATACCTCTGTTCATCAATCCCACACCTTACCAGAACATCCACATCTCCACTTCCCTCCTTCACTCACCACAACAATGGTCTCCCAACGAGATCGCGAGATCCTACGCGATGACCTACGCGCCCGCGGTACAAAACTCAGCGTAGAAGAGCGCGAAGCCCTCCTCAAGAGCTATCTCCCCGAGCCCACCGAGCTACCACAGAAACCAGCGCAATCGACTGCCAACGAGCGTCGCAAGACCCGCAAAACGCCCGTCCGGTCATTCCTCAAGTCGCAATTACACTACCTCACCTATGCCATCACACATATCATCTTCGGCATCGTTGTCCGTCTCCTGCAGGCTTACCACGCTGTCGTCGACCGCATTTTCGCAATCGTCTATCACCACCACCGCACCCCCGAGCTGATCCGGAAAGATGTGAAGAATCTCAAGCGCTTACCGCAGCATCTGAGTACTATTCTCACACTGCGGAAGGAAGATGACGCCCTTGCGGTGTTGATGGATGAGGTTGCTGAATTGGCGGCCTGGAGTTCGTGCTCCGGGATTTCCCAGCTCAGTGTATATGAGAAGTCTGGTATGGATGATCTCCTCTCTACTATCCACTATCCAGGATATGCGGGATATGCAGGATATAGTACACAATAATACTAACCCTCTATCTAGGTGTCCTGAAATCATGCATCCCAGCCCTCCACCAAATAATCACCACCAAACTCGCCTCTTACTACGGCACTCCAAGCCACCAACCACTTCTCCAACTCTACGCCCCTCACCACCCAGTCCACCGCAGTGCACCCATTTCCAAAAACACCGACAACACTACCAAACCCCAAACCCTGACAATCCTCCTCCTCTCCTCAACGGACGGCCGCGAGACTCTTGTCGACTTAACCAAGACCTTAGCGGAGATGAGCCAGAATGGCAAGCTTTCCCCGGAGGATATCACCCCGGAATTGGTCGACGCGGAGATTAGCGAGATCACTACGCAGCCATTATCTATGGATCCCACGTTGCCGGATACGGTGCTGAAACCTGAGCCAGATCTGTTGCTTGTTTTTGGTCCGTTCCTTAAGCTCGATGGGTATCCGCCGTGGCAGTTAAGGTTGACGGAGATGTATTGTACTGGTGGACGCAGTCATGGACTTAGTGGGGATGGAGAGGCTGTGGAGTATCAAGGGTATATGCGTGGTCTTTGGCACTTTGCTGGAGCCCAGATGAGGTTTGGTAGGTAGGGTAGCTGGATAGTTTGAGGGTTGTGGTTGATATTGAGATTGGTATTGGGATTGGGAAGAAGTAGATTTGCATGTGGATGAGCTTTTGGGGTTTTCATTTTGGCTATACCCTTACCATATTCCTGTACTGTTTGTTCTATGGTTTTTCTTTCTAGCATAGCATCAATGCAATTAATCTATGTTTCTATGTATCTGTTCTAGTATCAGCCTCCAGTCTATGGTGTTACCAGGGTGAAAATCTTACTTATAGGACTAATAGGATTACAGGAGACATTGTACATTGTTCAGCATATAGATGCCTCTATCTATACTATTACTCTTACTTTGATCCATTTTCGTTTGGTTTTCACCTTTGGATGTAAACCGAGAGCAGTCTATTCTGTACACACATAGAGTTGGAGTAGGAGTATACAAGTTGATATCATTATGCTATATGCTAGAGTATATCAATAAGAAATGAAGATCATTCGCCATGCTGCATGTCCAGTATAAATGCCAAAAAGAAATCCACCTCAATCCCAGCCAGTCCAGTCCAGTCCAGTCCAGTCCAAATATCAAACTCCAAAAAAAAAAGAGCCACTCCACAAGGAGCAGCAGCAACACCCTGAGGTCATAAAGAAGGTTATACTATAGTTTCATGCGTATCATTCTCTCATATTTCCCCTCAATTGCCACAGAGGAGAGTGAATCAACTCCATATATAACCCTCACCCGGTCATATCTTCATGCCGCATATCATCCAAAGCCCAATCAGAAGGAATAGTCGCCGCAGCCCACGAGCCCGCACCACGGACACAGTCAAGACAGCGCACAATCTCCACTCCAGTCTCGGTGACTTCCTCAACAGCGCAGCCAGAGCAGATTTTCCTCCTCGGGGCTTCGCTAGTATCGTAGCTGGCGTCGTCGGTTGAGCTCGTATGCATATGCATATGCACTTCTGAGAGACCGAATTTCCCTCCGCAGGATGCACTATCACATTGTCGGAGACAGATGAAGCATGCCCGTTCGTGGCATAGACCACAGTCAGCGTAGGCGTCGAGGACTTGGCGGGTTGTTGGGCGGCGGTGGCAGATGTGACAGGGGCGGAGCGCAGAGGGGGAGGCAGATTGTTGGGTTGGGTACTGCAACGGGACGAGAGTTTTTGGGGAGACCGGGGGTGAGTATGGGTCTTGGTTTGGGGTGCCGTAAATGTTTGGGGAGAGGTGAGTTGGTGATTGTGATTGTGGGTGCTGGAGTTGATGTTGATGCTGGTGCTGGTGGGATGGCAGTGTAAGATAAGGGCCTTGGACATGTCGGCGCTTGCGAGGGAGACATCGTGGTCGGAAGGAGACGTCTGTTCCGTCTGGGTGTCGTGATAGAGGCAGTGAGCAGCCCCCGTCGTATTCGGGCCGATCGATTCGGCAGGATGGGATATATGTTGCTCTGGTGACCATGTTAGTCTATCTATTCACCCTGAGAGAAACATTGTTCGACTTACGGACGTGCTAGGGTCTTAGGTTCCTCATGGTCCCACTTGCGTTTCTTCCATGTTGCCGTTATCGAGTCGGTCTGCTCGGGCGAAAACCCTGGCATTGGTGGTATTTCGTATATATCTAAGCCAATTTGATTATGTTATAGATGGCTAGTAACACAAGGAAACCTCAAGGGAAGTCTTCGAGTGAAGTGAAGCTGACAAGGAGATCCAAACAAAAGAAAGCCCAGATGTTGGTCGGGCGGTGTGCCGATAGGAGAGTGTTATCGGCGCACGTTCACGTGGCGATTGGCCTTGATCGAGTCTCGGGCATAAACTGTTTTGAGATTGTTTTTATATACAACTGGACAAAATATACAAAATATATACAAAACTAACCAAAGAAGTCAGGAAATATTACAGCCATACCAGAAAAAAAAGAAAAAAAAGAAACCTCTACTCCTTTTCCCGAGTCATCGGAGACCAAACACGATCTAAACGAGCCTGAATAGTTTCCTCGTCAAAACGCCCACTGTCACCCACATAATTGCGTAGAACCTCATAGGTCATAAGCCGCCGAGGTGCTTTGCGACCTGTCATCAACTCAAACTGAGCAATGCCCTGTTCGGTTACATTCTCCAATCCGTCAGACAAGACCCAAGGTCGTCCAGTCTCGCTCCGGACTCGGCGCATTTGTCGCAGAAGGGGTGTATCGAGGGGTTTATAGGCCAACTATATTTACTTAGTACGTGTGACAAGAAGCACACATCCAGGAGGGAAGAAAAAGCTCACCTCGAGTATCACACCTCCAGTAGGACTCCCAAGCCACTGCACGGGCATTTCAAAGTTCGCCGGTGGTTCATCTCGGTCTGGATCAGCCGGTACACAAGAGGCAACGAGACTAGGCTGAGCAGCATCCGCGGGCCAGTCTTCTCGAAGCGACTGCAAGACACAAACCACCTCAGCCGAGTCCACCTGCGACGACGCCCAGGAGTTGAAATGTCGCGCGACTTCCTCGGCACGCGACTGCGTGCGGTTGTAGATGAAGATCTTCCGACATCCAAGTCGGAGCATGGCATAGATGGCGGCCCGCGCCATACCGCCCGCGCCAATAACTAGGCCTGTCGTTTTTGCGCTAATTGCGTTACGCGGCGAGAGATGTCGCCTTATGCACGTCATTATCCCGACCCAGTCGGTGTTCTCACCGTACCAACCCAGCACGCGCCCGGCTTGGTTGCGTCGGCTGGCTTGTTCTTGGAGTGGGAACATTGTTCCGTCCGCGTGTCCACGGAGCGGCATAATTGTGTTGATTGCCCCGATGGCTTCGGCGTGTCGGCTCTTCGAAGCGAGCTTCTGGTATACCTGTACGCGCCATGGCTGCACGACGCTGGATCCCCCGAAGTGCGGATCTCGGCCCAGTCGGTCTAAGACTGCGAGAGAGGGCGAGTCGGGGATGCTGTAGGTGTGGCCCATACCGCAGTGTTGGTGTGCAGCATTGTGCATTGCCGGGGATAGACTGTAGGTGACGTTCTCTCCGTAGATGTAGAACTTGAGCGGGTCCAGCACGTAACTGTGGAAGAGTGCGCGGACGGCGTCGCGAGAGGTTATTTGCGGGTCGTGTTTATTCCCAGCGGACTGAGTGATCGCGGGGTGTGTTACTGCAGTGAGGATCGAGTTGAAAACTTGTGAGGTGCGACCCAGGGCGCCAATATTATAGGCAATGAGCGGTGGGTGATCTCCCGGGAGCGATCGAATTTTATTGGAGTATTCAATCGCAGCCGCATTTTCCTCGCGCTTTGTTGCGACCCGGAGGAGGCGAACAAGCTGACAGCCGAGCTTTTCAGCTTCATTGTAGATGGCGACGCAGCCTGCGCTCTCCCACGTAGTTGGGGAAGATGGTTCAAAGACCTGCTGGCCGATGATTTTGGTATTCCCACGACCTTTGATAGTCCCAGCCAGCCGGGATCGGTCTTGGGCCAGGTCCACAACAAGATATTCTACACCCAGACGTAGAGCGTGCTCGAGTATGTCAAAGTAAGGCCGAGAAGAAGAGGTGGTTGGTTCCGGGAAACCGATGCCGGTGGAGGTGTCAACGGAGAGGATCACAGGCGTCCGCGCATTTCGACGCAGGACAGAGACCTGTTTGCTGACAGTGGCTGCCATATCCGGGTTCCAGCGATCGATACACAGCTCGATAGCATCTCCACCAGACTCGAGCTCGGTCAGATTGACATTGTCGGCGATCAGATCTGAAGATCGCACGAAGATAGCGTGGGTGAAAGAGCGTAGTTCTGGTGGCGTCTCTAGCAGAACGAACGGCGAGTCATAGCTCGAATAGTTCACATCAAGTCCAGTAATGAACTGCACAAACCGGGTGAAATCCTCTTTCACCTCTTGCAACTTGAAAGAATAATCCGCAGACCGGCGATCTGGGCTCCCATCGTCCGACGCACGTGTCCGATCTTCAAGATTATAGAATTCGAAATTCGAACACATCCGATGCATCGGATCCCCCTCACGGAATAACCGTACCGCCTGGTCCTCCAAGCCAAGCAATTGCTGAATGCGACCGATATCGCGCAGCAGATGGACGACGGGGTTGGACTGGGCATAACGACGCAGATGATCCTGCACAGGTCGCGTCAAACTGGCCAACCCACACTCCATGACGCAGCCCGTGCGATGGTTATCCAGCATCATCTTCAGGACTTCGATGTCCCGGCGCTGGAATTCCTGGCTGCCGTACCGCTTGAGGTATTCCTGTCGCGTGACGCCCGTGACTTCTCGGAAGTAGTGGTCTTCGGTAATGAAGCGTCGCTTCAGCGCGGTCGCGGCGACGAAGCCTAGCGAGCGCTTGCCGCATCCGCGGATGCCGATCAGGACGAGGGATGCATTGGGAGCAAAGGTGCGAGGAGCGGACTCCGGGCGGAGTATGGGAGAGGGGGATTCCTTGATAGCATATGCGGGGATGTCGGACTTGATGTCGGCCATGGGAGGAATGGAGGGTTTGGAATCGAGCATGGTGAGAGACGATGGATCAATTGGGGTCTACGTAAAGTGAACGAGCGCCATGATCAGATGCACTCAAGGCATAGAATCGCATTCAAGATCGAATGTGGGATGATGAGAAAGGATGAGTGGGACTTCTCATGTGAATAATAGATAGGGCAATTTAGTTGTAGAAATAGCCTAAAAACCTAAGTATATTAGTTAGATCGATCGCCGAGATGGATAATGTTCCAACGGCGAATTGTTCCCCGGAATGAGAGGAACTGCCAAGTTGCCGCTCAGTTTGGTACCCGGCAAAAGGCTTTTCCACCAGATCTCAGTCTGAAGAACAGCAAGCACATCTCGGATCATTTACCGGAAGCTGAAATGTTAAACTTGGAGATATCACACTTTTTTTAATTATGGATCCCTTTAATTATATTGTAGATGTTGGTTTGTGGGGAGGTACTTGTTAAAAGAGATCTAGACGTTGAAGCATAAATCATATACTTATAGTGTTGTATATATATAGCAACCTTAGGATGATCCACAAGTTTTCTGGCAAGGGAGAGAGAGCATCTGATTCCGGACCTTGCGTGACAGTATCGAAACCTAGAGATCTGAGGCATTTCCGCAAGTCACATACGTCGGCTAGGGTAGTTGATTCTAGCAGGTTTAGAATCGCTGTCTGTTCCTGCCGACAGAGAGAATCGCGATGATCTAGAGAAACGAAGACCTGGCGTTTATTGCTCATCATGGGATAGGATACACAGGAAGTAGAGGAGATAGACTGAGATTGATAATGGACTATGTCTTTGAGAGTAGCACTTGATAGATGATATTATTTGGCCTTATATCCAATATTGGGTGCCTTGTGTACCATCAGATTACACTGGGAGTCAGCCGATGACTCCTCCTATTTTCTCCGTTGAATACTTTGAATCTCATATGCATCAATCGCTAGCCAGCTTCAATATGAGTACATATTGCAGGTGGCAGATTCTATGTTCTACCAAAAGAACAGTGTCTAAATATACTCGCTATATACTATCTCCCCGGCCACCGGTCCTTGGCTGTCTTGCAAGTATGCAAGTATTGTAGAATAGATAAGATATAATCTGGGCTTACCTCTCACACTAATATGCTCTCAGAGACCCAATATAACTACTACATTCGGAGTATATAAATGGTTGTTGTATAGAGTCTCAATCGGGTTAAGCGCCGTCGGCTTTGGTCGGGTATAGTATTTTGAATGCCTTGATGCCTTGATGTCTTAATGCCTTGATGCTTTTATGTCTGATCAAATACGAACTAACTCATCAGGGTAAAACTTATAAATAAAAGATATCTAATCTATTTCTAGTAGCCCTATACATACAGAACAGTTCAATATGTATATTAATCTCAAGTACGTTCAAAAGTTGTCCAGCAACTAAACTATGTTGTATGTGGGAAAACTGTGGGGACATGGAGATCCCCGATAATTCCGAGTGCCTTCACACATCCCGAACTTCGCGTCCGAGATCCTCCTCTCGGCCTAACTGTGAGCCTTTTGCCGTGGAGGCTAATTACATGGCCTTAGACTCTGCTCCTCCACTTTTCTATTGGCGGTACTCTGTACTCTTCTTCTCATTCCGAATATCGGCCTGTTTCTTTATACGGCCCGAGCTTATATTACTTTCAACTTGATTTGATTCAGTGAACTCCTAATTGAAACAGAGCTAGAGCTACTGGTTCCCTTATTATCTCTACATGGCGCGTCAACCCGTGCTAATAACCCCTCTTCATGGATGAGGGATCAGATAAGGCCCCTCGGCGCAAGAGGGTCTCCCGTGCTTGCGATCGCTGTCGCAGTAAGAAAGTGAGTCGCGTCCGGCCTTGATCTTTTCTCTCGTGTATCTCATTTGCCCAATCTAACATTTCGGCAATCCTAGGATAAATGTGACGGCATTCGTCCCACTTGTTCCGCCTGTCAGGCATCGGGCCAGTCCTGCTCCTACGACCCCCATGCGAAGAAACGCGGTCTCCCCGAGGGCTACGTCCGTGGCCTGGAAAAGTTGTGGGCACTATCGATCTGCAACATTGATGGGTTCGAGGATACCATGCTGGCCATGCTAGGAAATACCGCCGAGTCTGCCGGTCGTCGCGAGAAACTGATGTCCGTGTGGTCGGACGATAGTACCTCGGAGAGTTTACACGAATCTTGGAAAACGAGTCGACTGTTCGGCGCGCTGGAGAAAATGCTCTCTAGCTCAGATGCGCCGGGACCGGCGACGGGGAAGCGATTGCGTGACCCGCAAGATGATGGCTCCGATAGTCAATGGGGGTTCCGAGTAGCTCGCACTTCTACTCCGCTCGGTCCGGGTGCTCCGCGTGTAGTTGAGCCTTTTTCCGCGTCACCGGGGGTAAAGCGGGCTCGATTGTCCAAAGAGTCAGATGGTCGGGGTATTGCTGGACCCAGTCCCCATGCGCTGCAGTTACCGCCTCAGACGTCGCAGCTGCTCGATATCTATTTTGCAATCACGCATTCATGGTTCCCCGTGGTGGCCAAGCATAACATTCTTCGCGCTTCTTATCTCTATGCCAACGGCCCTTTCTCTATTGCTACGGCTTCACCTGGGTCCGGCGATCACGCCGCTCTGTGGGCAATCTTGAGTTACACCATCACTCAATCGCGAACAATTTCACAGGCCGGTCCCGCTGGAACAGTCGCTCTGGCGAAGGAATACTACACCGTCTCGCGAAAGCTCATCCCCACGGAGAAAGACCGTTATGAACCCGGTCATATTCAGGCGTTACTCCTGCTGAGCTTAGTAAACATGGGTCTGGAAGATTGGACCGCAGCTTGGCTGTTGAGCGGCCAAGCAGTTCGCATGGCGATTTCCATGGGTCTTGGAACTGTGTCCGACAGCCGGCGGTCTGATGAACTCAGACAAGGTAAGGCGGTCTTCTTGGGATGCTTTGTAGTAGATTCTTTGCTCTCTTTCCGTCTTTCACGGAGTCCAGCCATGCCTCCAAGCGACCTTACTGCGGTAGGCCTGTTGGAAGAAGATGGATTAGAGGAGTGGAACTCCTGGGTGGACGTTTTACCACCCACGGGTGCTCCGCAGGGCAGCAGGAATTCACCGCGCCGAGGACCACTCTTGGCCTTGAGCTGCTTCAATCGGTTAGTTGAGTTGGCGAGCGTTCTCAACAAGGTCTCCCGCCACATATCTTCGGGATACAACATGGCCACCTTTGCACATCAATTGGTCATGGAGCTTAAGCAATGGGATGACTGTCTACCTCTGGGATGCCGCCTGATTGGACCAGAAAGCATCTATCCAGAACGACATTCGGCCTTACTTCCCCATCAGAGTTACCTAGGTTTGACCTATGCGGCCACCCTGCTTTGGCTCTATCTGCAATTGATATCAGGTGAGCAAGGGTTGCATCGCTCACAGCGCCCAGCCACAGAGGGGGCCAAGAAGCTCCTCTACCGAGGGCTCTCTATGCTCACCCAACACTTGGAAAACTTCTCTATGTGCGGTCTTCCGCCCCTGTTCGAGCTAAGTCTTCGCACTATTGCGGAGCAAGCGTCCAGACTTCGCACTACTGCCGACTCATCGGATACCTTCCCTTTTGCCAGGTGGGCAGACGAGTTCCGACACAAAACGACAGCTTTCACATCCACATGGCCGGCCTATGGATCTTTGGTTACTAACATGGAGAGGTGGCAGCACTCTAAAGATGTTGTTGGGGGGGCCATCCACCTTTCCCGGGGCAGTCGTCCTTCCATTTTCGGGTGCACCCATGGGGGGGCCCATGCAACCCCCAGGCGGAGCTCGCAGTCTACCCCAGAACGGTGAAGGAGATTACACCTCTTCTATCCTTGGCATCAGTATGCCAGTTGATGGGCAGTCTTTGACCCCAAAAGACACCGTAATGGAAAACACAGATTTAGGCATGATTGACGTGCCACTACACCACCCAATGGAAGTACAGTCAGGTCTACCAGACAAGGTCATCCCGCGCAGCAGAGCAGATTCCATGTTTGGCACAGCCAGCGCACAGCATCAACAACCACAACCCCAAACCCCCGACTCGACATCCTCAAACCCAATGATGCCTGGTAATATCGACGCCATCTTCAAAGATCTGGCATACCTGGACACTACTGAATGGTCCACGAACCGTGAGGCCGGTCTGAAGGATTTCGGATTCTTGGACGATAGCACATTCCAGGCTTTCTGTCACGATCCCGATCGCTTAGGCGGATCACAGCCACTGGTTCATCCGCCTTCCATAGCGGATATTTGGCCACCGCCTGGGTTCTTCCCAGAGACGTTCCAGGAAGTGCCCGAGGAGTCTATGGGCGGCTGAGAGATTTCGGTATGATCTCGCCAGCTAGCTTTTAGAGACCATGTTCTTTTGGTCTACTACATCTCCCTTGAGGGGGTCATCGCCCGTTTTAGGGAATCCCACTGGCCTCCTGGGCTGCCTATAGACTTTCCTGTTCTTCCGGACACAGTCGTCATGGGACATGGGGATCTGTTTGGCCACATAATAGCCACCACCACAATCTAAGTTTTATGCTTAGTATCAAATCAGCCCGTGGGAGATTCATCCCGGTGGCTCATACTTCCTCCTTACAGGGACGAATCTCTTGTTCGTCCCGCCTCACGGGAGACTGAATGTTATCAAACTATGTACATATACCCACGCTATAGGATCACTCGAAGTCCAGCGCATCTATGCAAGTGTAGTGGCTGAAACCACGCTACAAATGAAATATCTTTATCAAGAATATCACAACACACACAAAATCGTAAAGTAGACGTTTTCTATACAACTCTTGACATCTTTCTATTCTATCTCTATTCGATGCATCACAACCCACATCTCCAATCCCCAAAACCCAACCCCTCTACCACACATTCCCAGAAGTCTGCTCCCTCCCCAACTTCTTAACATTAACATTCCTCCAGAACCACGTACAAAGAATACAAAGCGGCACAAAACAAACCCCAACAATCGCCATCTTCCTCTGAACATCAGCATAAGCCCCAACAATAGCATCCCGCTCCCCGCTCCCATCCGCATACGACATCTGCTTCACCAAATCCGCAAAGATACTCGCCGAAAGGTGCTTACTCTCCTGCGGCAGTCGGTTATACAACTCCTTCTCGAGGATATTATTCCACATCCCGCCCGCAATGGCAGATCCCACCGCCGCTCCAATCGACCCGAACAATCCCCAGATAGCTACCACAACTGCGATCTCTTGGTGCGTTACCATCGCCATTATGGCGAGTTGTCCGCAAACGGTGAATAGGCAGCTACCGAGTCCCACTAGGATTTGAATCATCGTTAGGAGCCCCACGTGTGTGTCGGGCGCGCGGAATGGGACTAGTAGGGCTGTTCCTAGGAGGAAGATGGGCACGCCTGCCATGGCGGTCCATTTGAAGTCGCCGGTCCAGCTTATCACTCTGGGAGGGAGAGGTTTGTTAGATTTTGGATAGGAGTCATGTGTGTGGTGGTGTGGGGTGCTTACAGGCCGAAGATAGGGCTGAAGATGAAAGAGGTCAGGGAGAAAGCGTTGAGCACGTAGTTGGCTGTTGTGATGTCGAGTCTGTTGACGACTTGTAGGTACGAGCTGAAGTAGCTGTTCCACGTACTGGTTTTCGGGTTTTAGTATATTGCCAGCTTTGGTGTTAATGGCGGGGAAGAGACTGGTACTTACAAGCAGGAGATGAACATCACGCCGTACAGCATGGACGAGCCGATCATTGTTGGCTCTTTCAGATACTTCCACGGGAGGAATTGTACTGGTGAACAATATCTCTCCCAGATATAGAATGCGGGTACACACGCCACACCGAGAACTTCCATGGCGATGATGTATCCGCTCGCCCATCCCTTGGGACCGTAGGAGGCAATGCTAAATGGGATCAGGATGAGGGAGAATGCGGCTGTGATTAAGATGATTCCGACAACTGAGTCAATCACACCTCGTTAGTCACATGTCAACTGCAAAAGAAGCTGCATATAGGGATGGGTACATACCATCAAACTCGATGAGATAATGAGCAATAGACTGCCACCAGACACGTCCAGAACGAACCTTCTCAAGGCTACCGCTCTTCTCCGCCCGACGTTGCATAAATAGCATCACCGCGGCCACGGGAATACAAACTCCAACCTGCATGATCGCGAATGAACCGAATGCCCAATTGAAGTCGAGGTTGGTGTAGAAAAGGTTAGCGATTTCCGGACCTGCAAAGGTACTTGCGATACCAGGTGTACCGTTCAGGCCGATCATGATCATCCGATTCTTGAGCGAGGTCATATCCGCCAGCATTATTTCAACGACGTAGGCCAGACCGATGTGGCCTACCCAGTATAGAGTGTGTGCTGCGGTGTACATCTCCATGCTTGTGCAGGTAGCTTTCATGATCAACCCGATCGTGACGAGAAGGAGCATGATTAGGAATCCCTCCACACGGCCCCAGATGTCGATGATCTTGGCTAGTGTGAGCTGCGACGAGCCGCCCAGAATAGTCGAGACAACGCTGACGACTGGCAAGAGGCCGTGTTTGTGGAATGAGGATGTGACATAAGGGTTTAGTGCGCTTTGAACCGAGCTTAGGAGTGCGTCTACGAACGACACCAGGTAGAGCCTGTGTTTTGGTGGGATGTCAGTTTTTACTTTCTGTTACTCTGGGCGAGGGGTAGGAGGGGAGTTGTGGATTGAGGTCCAGACTTACAGAATGAACATGAGAATGAGCGTCTTAGTCGACCATGTCGATGTAATGGCTCTTACTCGCCGCACACCACCCTGGAACTCGTTCGAGTCTCGACCAGACAGGCTGGCCTTGTCGTCAGATGGATTGTCCATGCCCTGATGGACTCTGAACTCCTTCATTTCCTCGACATCCCGGCTAGTATTGGGCTGTGTGGCCTGATCGGATATGGTTGTCTTTTCCATTATAGTTGAATAGAGACAATTGAAGGGTCCTTGCAACCATGAGGAAAAGTTGTACTTCAAATGGCCGGCACCACCGGAGGAAGGCAGTTGATCATATTATGTGGGAAGAATTCCCATCAATCACCTCCTATCAGATCATCTGATAAAAAATTCACATCCTCATCGTCCAATCAGCAAGGGAGTAAGGGAATTCGGGTTCTTTAGCGTCTTGGTAAGGTTTCACCCCATGGCCCGTGAGCCGGGTTAGACCGACGAGTTCGACTTAGGGCTCGTTCGCCTTCGGAAATTGCGCGAATATCGGAAGTTAATCAATGTCTTGGTCTTGGCCTTGATCTTGAGGGGGCAGTGCATTCATTAATATCTAACTAGTTAGTTAGCAATTGCATGTTGTAGGTACGTGCCCATATCTTACCTTCACTATAGATCCACCAGTCCATATAGATCGGACTTTACATATCCCCTAAACTATATCTGATCTCTTCCCACTGTAAATTCAATGTCAGTGTGTCAATTCATTCTCTTCTGGACGTAGTTTCGGTGAAGACGAAACCAAGACAGACTAAGCAGGAGGGATCTGCATTGTTGTCTAACATTGGGACTTGGCGTAAGTGGATCTTCCAGGGTACGTCGCGATAAAACCCTTGGTCATGATTATGCTTGAATTTGAATCAGGGATTGATGTCTGTCCTGGTTTTTTTGGTTTTTTCTATTTTTTCGTGAAGTCTGGAACCCTTTACAGTGAGGATATGAGGCCAGAAACGACCACCTTTCCGTAACTTGAGGCGTCCAGTCGTGCCTTTGGTGCCCAGGGGCCCAGGGGGCCTGACATATTGACATGACTCTTCCCTCTTCCTTTCGAATAAACCTATACCCGCAGCCTTCTAAAATACAATTGTTTTACCTACAGCTGGGAGCTTAGGTGCTTGATTTTAGGAAAGACCAAGGTGGCCGATGGCAACCAACAGGACCCTAGAGGTCGACAGCCACAATCGCAGGCCACCTCAGATTTTGTTTTAAAAAAAAATAGGGAGTACCGCCAGATCATTAATCACTCACAGCAACACCATGTCATAACCGAGGGGCTTCTCCCATTTCATGAACATTGCCGCACCGGTGATAACACGGCCAACGCGCGTTCATATTTGGTGCAGCGCCAGAGAGCCGAGTCCTCAGATTCTCACAATAGCAGCCACCCAGAGGAGAAGGAGACACTACGAGCACGGCGAGCGTCCCTTCATCGACATCGCGATCCCAGTACCTGACTCACGGGTAACTCAAATGCTTCCCATGCCAGGAAAGCTTCGATGTGGAACCTGGTGGATAGAGACGTTTATTGAACTAGTCAGAGGCATCGAACAACCTTGGAAGGAAACCAATACGGTGGAATACAGGCACAAGTAAGTAGAGCGTGGAAATACTTTGCAGGTCTCGAGGATATTCCAAGGACCAGCGGTACAGTAGCTTCCAAGGTTGGCTTAGCCCAGACCAGACCGCGGACCGGACCGTAGTGGAGTGGAGTGGTGCGGTCCGGTCTTACAGTTCTTACAATAAGGCAAACATACATGATTTATATATGATTTATATATGATTTATACAGTATTTTGGGTTATTAGCTGAATTATCAGCTTAAATAGCCAAAAAAAAAAAAAAAAAAAAGGAAATCTTGGTATAATTATGAACTTGCGAGGGACCGCATGGGGGACCGTGGTGCGGTCCTTAAGTGCAGTAAACCCCCGTTATAACGAATCAATGGACAACTCGGTGAAGAACTCGTAATAAGATCGGACCTATGTCTGATACCAACATCGTCGTTCAAAACTACCTACGAACATACCTCTCTCGCACCGGGTCACCTTCATGCGAGTGGACTACCCAATTCCCGATTCCAACAGCACCGTCTCTATCCCCTTTCCGCTCCGCCGAGCCAAAAATCAAATTATCAGGACGGTAAGAAGGGTCCGACTTCATACGCTGGATAGCAGAGACATGAATTCGGGCATTCACTGGGATATCGCGAGTCCGGCCACACGGCGGCGGCCACCGCACAGCCTTCAACACTCCATTCGTCTGCAATTCCATCCGTCGTAGAGGTAGATACTCCATCAGACGCCACGAGAGGACGGAAGTCAGCCGAATACCGTTACCATACGCAAGGAGGTCATGGATATGCCCTCTAGTGCCGGCCAGATGAAGTGCCTCCAAGTAGCTTTTGTGGGGTATCGATAATTCCGAGCTTGAGACGTTCCTCTTCGAGTTCGAGGTGTTTTTCACATCAAAGTCGCCATCAAATTCCTCAATGCACTCGTGCTGTTTTAGCTTTCTCGGGTCCAGTCGCAGTCCAGCGCGCTGCGCCTCTTGTACCATCCACACCAGAGGCGCGTGCGTTAATGGCCATGTCTCGTTAGATCCGAGATTCCATCCTCCGCCAATGTCTGCGTGTCCGCCTGGAAACCACATTTCTTCGATATCCTGTGTGTCTTCGTCGTCGTCATCATCCACTTCTATCTCCTGTTTCTTGCTTGGTACGCTGACATTTGGGATTTCTGGAAGAACGGGAGGTCCAAGTGTGTGTTTGAGATAATTGGTCGAGGTCCCCTTCCCGGGCTTCTTTTCATCTGAGGGCGTTTTGCGAACCCATTTATCTTTATGCGAATGCAGTAAAACCGGCCGGAACTTGATACGCCGTTCATCAATGCTAACTGCATGTCGAACTATCTTGCTCGAGGTTCCCCCGTCGGCATTAACCTCAAAGTCGGCAATACTATTGACCGCATCAAACATGCCCAAGAACTGCACACGAGCCATAGGTCGCGACAATATCTCTCGACTATCTTTCATGACTCGAAAGGTGTTTATCTTCTCTTCTCGGTCGTTATCCGTCCGGCTAAGTTTCCATGACACAAACGCATCCCAGATAAAGGGCACCACTTCTTCATTATCTGGGCCGAGAAGCCCGACATAATCGAGCATCTCGTTCAGGAACTGCGCCGTGTATGCGCCACGCGAGAAGCCGAAAATGTACACTTTGGCACCGGCTTGATAGTGGCGCATGAGGAAGCGATATCCCCCCAGAACGTGCCGATCGAATGACCGACCCAGTGCGAGATTGAGCGCTTTGCTATTGTCTAGTCTGCCATTCTTTTGGATCGTTGTGCTGGCCAAAGAGCCCGGGGTTATGTCGGTGCCTATTCCCGCTGCTTGGGGTCAGTACCCTTGTGGTTATCTGGTGGATACGCTCATACGTTGGTAGTAACATACTGGCTTGCGGTTAGAAGGCTTGTTTCAGTCTCAAGATAGGAGGTCAATCTTACGTTGCTCGTCGGACTTTTCTAACATGCGACATATTTTTAAGACATTGGTGTCTGTGCCGTCCGTACGGAAGGTATTTCCTGTGCCATCGAAGCACAGGACAATTTGTCGAGCTGACATTGTACAGTCTGTTCCCAGACCCCAGAAGGGTTCTCTTGAGTAAGGTTGGGGAAACCCGCATTAATATGTGCTCGAGGCATTGTTTAGCGTTTGATCTATCTTATATTTCTCCACTTGTCGGCATAGTACGGTGACGATCATGGCGATCTTCATCAATCGAGGAATCACCGAGTTGGTAAAAATGCCAAGCGGGGGGTTAGTAGACACTAGTTCACTAAATCGGGTGTCGTGCAGTTGATCTACACGGTCATTGCTTGTCGACCTTTGAGGTTTAGGAGGTGGCCACTTGGCGTGTGACCAGTCTCACTTACAACTAGACAATATTGCAGTATATCATACTTGGAGGAGCACTTTACCCCTTTTCTTTGTTATGAGACGCCTACTCGGCTTAATTCTCAAATCACTGGATCCGGTCAAGCATGAGATATGTGACCAAAAGTCAAAGCGGTTCACTTCTAAACTGTCCAGATTCATCTTCTCGGGATGGTAACATAGTTCAGGCATCATACGGACGTCTCCAAATCTGCACCTGATGAAAGGATTTTAGACTGGTTTGATATGGTTAAAACCTTGGTGTCACTAGAAATCATCATTGTAAGTAATGAAAAAAATAGAAAGAAAACAGTCCAGCGACCAGAAATGAGTATTCGTCTGCCCGGCAGACGATGCCAACACAGTGTCATTGCAAAACGCCTCGCTAATGACTCCTTTGGAAACATGGAATTACCCTATCCACAGATATGAGAATGGATGAGTAAAGGAAAAAGGAAAAAAAAGGAAAAGAAGAAAAGAAAGTTGATATATGTACAAGAACAGTCTAAGAAGAATGAAAACGGCTAAAGAGAAGTAAGATCAATCAAGGATATACTGCACCTCATTGCATGAAGACTGGAATGCCCTGAGAAGCTTATTCACCCGATGTGTAATCCAACCAGACTGCGTGCCATTGGTAGCAACGCCCGCAAAGGTAGTAGAAGCATGTTTACAAACACCCTCGATGTGATTAAACGAATACTGCAAGCAGTCATCATTGCGCGCGCAGACCTCCGCACAAACATCCAGCGTAGGAATCGTGCCAGCCGCAAAATCAATCTTGATCCCAGAGAGGTTATCCCAATCGTCGCGCGCCGAGAAAGTCTCATCGTAAACAAGTTTCTGGTAAACGTCCGCATGCAGCATGAGCGCGTTCTTCCCACTAGCAAAGAACGCCCGGTCAAACTCCCACATCGCCTCGATATCTGTCGGCGCCATGTGGTGGTACGAGATAACAGGGTAACACCATGGCTGTCGCCCGTATCCTTCGGAGAAATGGTCGATTTCCCACGGTCGTGAAATCATCATCATCGGCCAGGCCCAGGTCAGATCAACGTGTAAGTCGTGCAGCACTCGCGCCAGCGCGCAGTCGCCTGCCCACTCGTGTGCGGTCATCGCTTCGAGCTCTTCCTTTGCCCCGATCTGGTACTCGTGCAGGCGGTTCATCGTCCAGCTTGAGAGGACGATGCCCGCACCGCCGTAGCCGAAGAGTGTTTCGCCGATTTGCATCGGACTGCCCAGGTAGTATTCGCGATCTGGGTCGAGATGCGCCAGCCAGCTGATCAGGTTCGGCCACACAATGTAGGTGTCGGCTTCGAGGAAGACGTACCACTTGGCTTCGGGCATGACTTCTAGGGCTTCGTCGATCATTGGGAGGAATTTCCATTTGTCGAGTTTCCAGCCTGGGTTGTTGACCTTGCCAAGTGGGCCGTTCATGTCGTCGCCCCATTCTTCGTCTGTTAGGCCTTCGCGTCCGACTTGTTGTAGATGACGGTAGATTTCAAATTCGGGCTCTTTTTTCATTGTGGCCTCGCTGATGTTGCGGAGGACGTCATATGTGCGGACACCGTCGATGGTTTCTTCGTAGTCGGAGAAAATAGCGAAGTGTGGGACACATTCCAGCGTGGTGCGGATGTGGATAGGGACTTTTTCGAGGGATTCAGTCGCGCCGGTTTTAATTACGACCAAGACATCGTCAAGTGCGTGTAGTAAGTGGCCACATTTGTCCTCCAATGTCTCCTCTTTGGAAGGACGTGGAGGACTTGTCTGCTTCTCCTCCCCTACCACAATTGTTTCCCCTCCGGCTTGAGGAATTTGTTCCGAGTTGTTCACGATTGTTGAGTTGGATTCAGGCAGTCGAATGAGGTAATATATGAAGCAAAATGTAAGGATCGGAAAGATGACGAAGAGGCCTCGTCGCGGAGCACTAGACATAGTCGGATTGGGCGCTTAGGAACAATCTAAAAATCAAACAGGAACCGATGCCATTCAGCTAACGAAAGTAAGGAAGGAGGGTAAGAAAAAGCCGAAAAGACTGAAAAGACTGAATCAAATGCTCGATAGCACGCAAGAAAGGGAAAAAAGGGTCAGTGATCGCTGTCCGTGAGCCAAACCAGTTCGACACTGCCTCCGCTGCCTCCGCTGCCTCCGCGTTAACAGTGGACAATCCACAGGCCTGCAGAAATGATTCGGTCGAACCTCAGAACGGGGTTAATGGAGGAGCTTTGATAGGCCAAACGAGAGGTTCATTGGGGACTGATCAGCAACCACGCGGCACATGAGCCAACTAAGCCGTGGTGTCTGAACAACCGCTGCCCCACGGGAAGCGTCATCGCTTGCGGGACTTTGCATGGCGAGGTAATGATCGACTGTGTACTCCCGTCGAGGGTTGGTTAGTGGGGGAAGATTCAGGGGGTGAGGATCAGGGGTATGTCATGTCTCAAGTTTGAGGTTGATGTTAATTAATATGTAGGTACAATATAACTACTCTGTAACTATAAAGTACGGAGTAGAATGATCAGCCATGGCGTTAAAATAAATTAAGCATGAAACAAGGACACCTCAGACACGGACGTGTTCGGATCAGCAACGGGTGCTGATATCGGCGTGTGCCGTATCGTAAATGTAGGGGTCCAATCAATGGTATTCAACTCTCTGTATTTCTGTATCGGCTCTTCGTACAATTTATATGGAGCCATGATTACATAACATTAATTACAAAACATGGAGGATTAATAAATCCTCCGGTATGCCGGTCGTCATATTCCGACAGCTGATTGGGGCCTGATTGAAGCCTAATTGGGGCCTGATGGTTAAGGCATAAATCACGTGTGTTTCAGTTGAGCACAGACCAAATTTGGCACAAACGAGGGTCCAGTTGATCAACTGTCTAGTCAACATACAAAATAACAAATTCTATTCATTCATTCATCACACATATTACAGCTATATACAACTCGATTCAAGCTTCAGCTTCAGCTTCAGTATCAACTCTCAACCGTCTTTTCCACTCCCACAAGAACACAGGAGTGATAGTCAAAGCAACGGCCACACACAGAATAGCAGCCTGAATACCAAAGACCAGTCCAATCCCATTGCGCTGAATCCACGCAGGCTGGAAGTATCCCACCGCGAACCCGCCGCAAGTGCGCCACATATTCAGAATGGCTGAGACACAGGTCGCCTGCTCTGGGTACTTTTCCAATGCGTAGGCCGAGATGGTACTGTGCAAACGATTTTAGAGATATGACACAATATTCAACAGAGTGAAGCTGGAACTTACACAATCGTAGCTACCATGCCGATGTTCACCATGATCCACCCAATGGCTATCCCAATCCAGTGTTTGCCGAAGTGCATGGTGAGTCCGTAGGTGAGGAGACCGCTTGCCATGCTAGCTGTCGGGAACCAGACGCCGTGGAGACGGAGATCCGTTCGCCAGGTTGAGCTGTGGCGCTTGAAGATCCAGCCGTTGAAAAAGCGGCCAGCTGCCCAGCCTGGGAGGAGGGTGAGAATCTAGAGAGATTGGGGGAAGGTGGTGAGGGTTCATACCACATAAAGCTCCAATCACACCGGCGAATCGCATCGATGATGCTTCGATCGTGTCAAACAAGTATGGAGGGCTGTGCAGGAAGGTATCAATGGTGGTTGTGATTCCTGGATAGTCAGCGGGTGGAAGAACGGGATGACGGCGATAGTTACTTACCAATTGGCCAGGTAAATGTTACCAAAAGCGTCAGACCTGTTGACAGAATCCTGGTCAGTGAATGCTATCGCAAACCATGTCGACCATACCTACCAGTCATTAACAGCGGAAACTTGAACACATACACCACGACTGTTCGGCTCCAATATCTCAATGTCGATCCCTTAGGGAGCATGGTATTGCCAATGCCAAAATAAGATGCGAGGCGTGACTGCTCGGTCGTTCTTCCAGGCTCATAGTTTGTTTCATATCCGAAGAGGATCACCATGGCCGTGGACAAGCCATAGATGGCTGTCAGGACTCCGAAGGACGTGCGCCAGTCTGACCCGGCACTGATGTATCCTGCTATCGCGGGGCCGAGGAATGGCCCGACGAGGAATGTGGTGCCCCTATTCTCAGTCAGTGCTACTCTAGTTAGAGTCGAGTGGCGAGTCTCCTACCAAATATTGATCATCCGCGGCCATTCTGTTGTCGGATCAGCGTCAAGTACTCGCAAAAATCCCAGAAAAAGGACTTACCAGCCGAGGTATACATGTCATGAATGATCGGAAGTCCAATTACCTGAGGCACTGTCCCAAACAGACCCTGCAAAGAGCGGAACGTCGTGAAGGTAGACCAATCATTAGAGAGGGTAGCACCCAACACCATGAACATGGTAATCACCTGGGGCCACAGCCAGATCGGCAAACTACAGCTGTCAGTGTGAAAGTCAACGCAGGCAAAAAGAGAACTAACTCACCGTCCATATGCTTCGATGAGCGGAACAGCAAAAATGCCCCCAAACCCCTGCAACAGAATCCCATAATTCATACTTGTCGCCGAATGAGCCATGCTAACATCCCAATCCACGGCCTGCTCCATAACCAGAGTTCCACCCCAAACCATAGCCCTGCAAATATTCAATCAGAAAATCATGTATACATACACATCTTGCGATGCGCTTGGTAATCGGCCACACCTACCCATCTGCTAACAACGAGCTTGTCATCAGCGAGACAAAAAGCATCGTCTTTCGCGCCGAGGACCAGTTCCTCGGGTTCAAGGGATCCCTAGCCTCGACATCTGAATTGGAATAGCCTCCCTTCAGTGCCTGTGTTTCAAGCGACGACGACGCACTGGCTGCCATCTCGTGCGTAGAGTAGACCGGGGAGGGTTTCTCCATGGTAGATATGTTCACCCTTCTTCGCTGTATTCTGTGTAGTGTAATAGACAACCCTGAAACAGCAGATTTGAGTCGGGTAAGGAGGTCAATGAAGATCTTATTCTTTTATTGCGTGACGGGGCACTGCAGGTTTTATGCATGGCCGGTTTTTTTTTTTTTTCACACATGGGGGATACTCGCGTGGCTTTTGTCGCCCAGGCAGGTTCTAGAAATTAGTTCTTAGGAACTAGGAGAGATCAGATATCCATAACTTCCGATTTGGATCTGTTGAAAAGTCCCCGGAATCTATAGTGGATGTATCACAAAGGTAGATCGGGGCTAGTTGATCCTTTCCTTTCGCCTTCCGACAATTCGCTACTACGCACTTGTATTTACTGGTTCATTCCTTGTTATTTTTTTGTTTTCCCCCTTTTTGGCGTATTGCTGCGGCATTGCATTGCCCTTTCTTTTCCTCGATGTGATATGATATCTCTCGCGCATACCAAACCTAGTCATGTTGGGCCAATAACCTTCCACAGAGCACAATTATCCATGCTAATACGGAGTACGGAGTAATGGATCGGGAGTTATCAATGGTATTGTAATCTGCTAGTATTCCTGGTATAAATTATCTACATCGTATTCTCATATTAGGGCTGGAATCCGTGCGAGCCATCGAATGTTGTATGTTGTACATTTGCGGAGTAGATATATATTTAGAGAGTATAATGCAGAGTATACTTCCCTATCCTCTTCATACTCAAAAATCTTCTAATTCCAATCCTCAATGTCTTTTCTAACCCGCCTAGCCAGTTTACTAGGCCTGTCATCTCCGGCCCCCGCCGTTGCACCCCCCTGGCGCCGCCCTGGCAGCAACCGTCACAGTAGTGAGTACGACGAACCCATCAGACAGGCTTCTATCTAATCCAGTCACAGCCTGCCTCATTAGGATTTGTTCCGGTCGCGATTCACTTTGATCTCTTCAATATCCTTGTGGGCCATGGCGGACCCGCGACAGCCGATGAGATATCGGCTATCTGCAATGCACGTATCAAAGCCCGAGGGGAAAATGAGCCTGAGCTGAGTACGTGCCTGAGCTTGAACAGCTGATGGTTAATATGACTGTTATACTAACAATGAATATAGGTACCAGATTAGCCTGTAAGGACACCTATATATAGCTAACAAGTAGAACACCAATACTAAACCCCTTTCCGCAGCGGATACACTCTACGTCATGGCCGGACTCAGCCTTGTCGAGCGCGTGGCTGAGGACTGTTTCACAGCAAATGCCATCACAAACCACATGGTTGCCATGCCGTCCGCCCAGCATGGTGCACTGCACTTGTCAGTTCCCCCCATGCATTCCCGGCTTCTATCCCAGAAACTACATAATCTTAGGGTTTCTAGCACTAACCCCCCACCCAGCACCACGGAAGGTCTAATGGCCGGCGCATTCTTGATGAAAAAGCTCCAAGACACCCGCTTTGCATACCCCTTTGCCGATGCAGACGGCCCCTTGCAATATGCCTATCGGCTAATGGGTCAGTCTGAGCTGGCGGAACAGCATACGTACTCGATCATGGAGACCCAGGGTCGCATGGATAGTTTCAACCATTTCATGGTCGGCAAATTCCTGAAGTTCGGGACTTTCCCCGATCGCGTCAAGTCGATGGGCTATGAGTTGGATAGCGCGTTGGCGGGTGACACTACCACTAACACCAGTACTAGCTCGGCTACTATGGTCGACATCGGCGGCGGTCGTGGCGAGCTCCTCCTTGAGGTCCAGGCGGCGTATCCGCATCTCGGCGCCGAGGATCTAATTGTGCAGGAGTTCAATGCCGATATTGATAGCGTGCCTGGTGTACGGCTTATGAAGTGGAATTACAAGGAGGAGGCTGAGCAGCCTGTTCGTGGAGCCTGTGTTTACGCGTTGCAACATATCTTGCATAATTTGCCTGATTTGGATGCTGTGGCGTTGTTGCAGAAGATTTCACGTGCTATGGTGCCTGGTTCGCGGGTGTTGATTATTGAATATGCCAAGAATTTGACTTATACTTCGCTTCATGCGAGTATGATTGCATTGTA